TTGTATCAGAGAAACCATTTTTTACCGCATCTTCCCTAGTTGTGGAAGATACGCTGGAATTCCGAGTTGCAATTATATATGTATATATACAATATATATTATATTACATTATATATATATAGATATATATATATATACACTTCTAAGCAAAAGACTGCGTTCAAATCTGGTTTTGGTTCAACTGTTTTTGAACGCAGTTGCTGTCATGCACCGCAAGACAGCGTTCAATTATGGTTTCGGTCGAATCTAATTCCATGCAGCATACTACAGAACTTTATGCGTGCAAAACTGGTTCTCGAGGAACCAGTTTTGAACGCATCTTCCGTGTGATGTGTGATATATGTATATATAATATTCATGCATGTATATATATATATATATATATAGAATACACTTATATAAGTGTATATTACATTATATAATTATATAATGTAATATACACTTATATAAAGTGTATTATATACATTGCATGATTACCAAAAGCACAAGCCCAGTATCGGAAAACCATTTGCATCAAAAAAACCATTGTTGAACGCATCTTCTCTAGTCGTGGAAGATACGCTGGAATTCCGGGTTGTATGGCTATGAAAGCAATCATGTGGTTTCAAAAGCTGATAATATATATATATATATATATAATATAATAATATATATATATATATATATATATATATATATTATATATTTATATATATATACAGCGTTCAATTTGGGTTTTGAATATTTTTTTTTGAATGCAAATGCATTTATCACTCATAAAACAAAACAAAAGATTGCGTTCAAATATGGTTTTGGTCGGACTGTTTTTGAACGCAAGTGCACATATATATATGCACCTTATATAGATGGTTGTCCTACTATATGCACGGAAGATGCGTTCAAAGGTGGTTCCTCGACAACCATTTTGGAACGCATCAAGTTTTCAATTATATACTATATACACGAATATATACGGTTGCGAAACCATAATTGAACGCATTCTTGTGCTTATCGCTATATCAGAAACAGTTCGACCAAAACCATATTTGAACGCAGTCTTGTGCTTATATATACAGATGATCAGAAACAGTTCGACCAAAACCATATTTGAACGCAGTCTTGTGCTTATATATATATATATATATATATATATATATTTAAATTTATATTTATATATATATAATATATATATATTATGATCAGAAACAGTTCTACCAAAACCATATTTGAACGCAGTCTTGTGCTTATATAATATATACAGATGATCAGAAACAGTTCGACCCAAACCATATTTGAACGCAGTTTTGTGCTTATATATACAAATGATCAGAAACAGTGCGACCAAAACCATATTTGAACGCAGTTTTGTGCTTATATATACAAATGATCAGAAACAGTTCGACCAAAACCATATTTGAACGCAGTTTTGTGTTTATATATTATATATATATATAGATGGATCTATGTAATTCATGCACTTGTTTTGCATACATATATCATATATGTGTTTTTGTACTTCAGGTTCTATACAACCATGCATGCCGGAATTCCAGCGTATCTTCCACGACTAAATAAGATGCGTTCAAAAATGGTTTTTATGATAGAAATGGTTTTCTGATGCTGGGCTTGTGTTACTTGAACTCAACGTATAATATATATATATATATATATATATATATATATATATATTGTTATATATATATAGGTGCCCAATTATGGTTATATCGGAACCTTTTTTTTACGCATTGGCTGTGTGGTCTTGCATGCGCCAGGTACTGATGATGCCATGGAGGTCTACAAGAAGAAGCGTGCCGAAGCAGGTGCACCCCTCCTCGCCTTGCTTTTGTGCAGCTTTGCTGCTGGGCTGGTGGCATGTCATGCAGATACATGTGTATATATATATACTGCATATCATGTCTATAAACCAGTTATAAACCATATATGTTTGTGTCTGTCTGCATGGGATCTTCGCATGTTATATATAATTTACACAAATAAGCTTCCTGTCTCAAGTCCAATACATCATAAACATATATTCATACATGTGTATCTTCATATATATATATATGTACATATACATGTATGCACTCTGTCATGTGCTTCTGCTGGGAGTCACTGCTGCTGCACATGTCAGTCGCATGGAGTTGAATCTTGACGATCGCAGATTTTTGCTGAAGCCTCCTGATTGTGGTCTTTGCTAGCTGTCTGTTGATGGCCCTACAGGGCGGTGCTGCTAGAAGTTTGAGCTGTTCTACTCTGATGAAGGGTGCAGGGCAGCTCGCACAGCAGCCGCAGCCATGTCATCAGTTCACGCCGGTGAGAGTGTCTCGTCGCATTGCAGATCGGATTGTGTGCCTTATATAGGGTGAAGAAGTGCATGTTTCACTTTTGCTGAACACCCAGGTGAAGCAGGAGCAGGGGCATCACTGGGTGGATGCTGAGCTGCTGAAGACGTTCAGCCCAAGGACCCGGTCTATGCTTTCACGTCTTCCTGACACACCGCAGTCAAGGGTTCTGCTGCAACAGATGTTGGATGTTCATGGTGCCTACTGTCACTTGTTCGCAGTTGCATTGTGCATTTCTTTCAGAGATGCTGTTGCAGAGAGCAGCACATGTTTCATTTGAACCATTTTGGGATTCTCGCATAGGGATTGCTTTGGAAAGGTGTCAGGGTAAGGGATGGTTCCTTGATGTCCTTCCAGCAGCATGTGCAGTTTCTTGATCCTGAAGTCGTTGACCTCATGAACTAGAACATGGAATACCTTGCTACTTCAAAACTTACCATGTAATACTGAGCATGGAGATTCATGCGACAACAAAACAGGAAGCCTATGACATATCTGTTCATATATTACATGTCGGCATATGTATGTATATATATATATATATATATATATAAATGTGCACATATATATATATGTGTCTGACATCTATGTAAATACTTATAAGAATAGACATTTAAATATACATATATAAATATACATATGCTAGCATGTATATATATATATATATATATATATATTCCGCACACACACACACACATGTTAGACAGAGCTTCGGTACTGTATGTACATTCACTCTGTGCAAGCACATTGTGTGCATGTACATGTGTCGGTGTATATGTATAGAATGTGTGCATGTATAAAACATATAATATGTGCAGAGGTCTTCTTATATTCTTCTTGCATGTGGATGATTGCACAGACCAGCAAGTACTTACATGGCGGTCTTTACCGAACTGCATGCATGCTTCTTCGCATGAAAGTGCACACGTGCACACACATATGTTCACACACATAGGTGTTACCACAAAGACAGGCACATAATTGCATGCATGGCTACAGTGCTCCATCTTACATAGGTTGATATCTCTCTTTATATATATAGTTATACAGAATGCAATAGTACATTGTATATGTATATGCACGACAGACAAACATACATATACATATACATATACATATACATATACATATACATATACATATACATATACATATACATATACATATACATACATATATATATATAGGTATACATACTCGCAAGAATAATACAAATGACATCATCGATATGTGTGTACATATACCTATATACATACATATACATATATATGTGAGTGCATGTGTATATATGTGTATAATATATATATATATATATATATATATATATGTAGGTGCATGTATATACACATATTACAGTCGATGTACAATGTGTGTATATATATATATATATTGTGTATGTATACATATCAAGTATATATACTCAAAATACCACATCTATACATCTATACATCTATATACATACACACATATATAGATATGTATCTCCATTGCATATGTATATAGACATATCAATATATTATATGTACACATACACATGTATATGTATATGTATATATATATATATATATACATCTATACACATACATTGCTGCTTTGTGGAAATCATGGGCATGCATGGAAGATCTTTGTTCTCCAATTCTTGGCTCACGTAAGGTGCCCCGACAAAACACGTGTCTGTGGAGCCCAAGATGGAGGCGGACGGTGCAAAGAAACGCACCCCGCCGACCCCCCCCCCCCCTCCCCTCCCCCCCCCCCCCCCCCCCCCCCCCGCCCCCCCCCCCCCCCCCCCCCTCCACCACCTCCTGTGCCATGCTACCAGGTGCCTACGCCAGTGGATGTTGAAAGGCAGAGGATTGCGTGTGCTCAGTTGGAGGAGGCCAAGAACCTGTTCGCAGTGAAGCGTGGAGTGCTCGTGCCGCCTCCACGTCGTGCTGTTGCAGAGCTCGTGCCGCCTCCACATCGTGCTGTTGCAGAAGTTCAGCCTCCACAGAAGCCTCCGCCTGGGACACCGCAGAAGGCGATGCCAAAAGGAGGAGGGGAGCATGGAGCGAGCCCGGGTGCTGTGCAGAGCCCACCGCTGAAGAAGCAACGGCCTGCTGATGAGGAGACCCAAGGTGATGGTGACAGCCGCGAACTTCATGTGCACAGCTCCGGTGCGGTCTTGATGACAAAGGATGGCCGCTTGCATCTGATGCCCAAGCCGAAGGTCCGATCTGAGGAGCGTGGACTTACAGCAGAAGAGCCAAGGACGACGGCTACGGTGCAGCAGGTGCCAGTGCAGGCTGCAAAAGTGCAGCCTCAGACGGGGCCTGGGCCAGCGCAGTCTCAGGCAATGGGCTCTGGGACCATGGGGCCTGGACCAACAGTGCAGTCTCAGGCAATGCGGCCTGGGCCAACAGTGCAGCCTCAGGCAATGGGGCCTGGGCCAGTGCAGCCTCTGGGCCAGTGCAGCCTCAGGCAATGGCGCCTGGGCCAACAGTGCAGCCTCAGGCAATGGGGCCTGCTCCGCGAACAGAGCCGGGATCTACGCCTCAACGAACCGAGCCGAGATCAGTGCCTCAGCAGGAAATGGGGCCTGGGCAAGCAACGCAGCCTCAGATGGGGCCTGGGACAGCAGTGCAGCGTCAGATGGGGCCTGGACCAGCAATGCAGCCTCACATGAGGCCTGACCCAGCAATGCAGCCTGAGATGGGGCCTGGGCCGGCATTGCAGCCTCAGAAGGGGCCAGGAGGGCCAGCAGGGCAGCCTCAGCAGTGCATGGGGCCAGGAGTGCAGCCGCAGCGGATGGGTCCAGGAGCAGTGCAGATGCAGCCGCAGCCTCAGCCAGCAGTGCAGCCTCAGATGGGGCCTGGGCCAGCAGTGCAGCAGCAGATGGGGCTTGGGGCAGTGCACATGGGGCCGTGCCTTCAGCACGTGCCTGTGCCAACAGCCCCTCTCATGCGAGCAATGCCGGTGCCTATGCAGCAGATGCCAACCATGCAACCGCAGATGGGACCTGTGCCGATGATGGGTTTCCAGCAGCAGAGCATGCAGATGGGTTCTGTGTGGCCCCAGCAATGTTCGCCTGGTTCGCCTGGGATGTCTACATCTCCGCAGATGGGGGTCCCTGTGATGACAGGCCCTGTAATGCAGGGTTGCCTTCCACGCCTGCCCGGTTCTGCTGCTGGGTCTCAGCCGCACGGTGTGTCACCAGCAATGCCGACAACGAGACTCCCCACGCCGGAGAGTGCATCTATTGACGCGATGTACGACTGCCTGAAAGTCTTGGTTGGATGTCAGGGTGGAGCTCAGCTGCCAGAGGACTTGATGCTGAAGTACGAGGATTTGCTGGTACACTGTGCCAAGGCCAGGGCAGGATCATCGCCTGTGGCGCAGTCGCACCCGGTGGCGCAGGTGGAGCAGCCGGCCCAGAGAATGGAGCAGGTGGTCGAGCAGCCTGCCCAGCAGGGGTGTGAGAGAAATGCGGATGGCAAGGATGTGGTGATCGATGTGGAGCCGGCTCAGCCGAAAGCTGTGCCAGAAGAGAGGCTGTCAGTGACGACGACATCCCCATCGCCGTCCCCGGACAAGGATGCAGCAAGTGGCCACCGAAACGGTGGGGACACAGCGTGACTTGGCAGAGAGCATGCATTTGAAAAAGATGGCTGAGTGATTGAATTCAGATAGCTGAGATAGCCATATAATTTTGTGAATTTGGTATGCATTGATTGCTGCCTGCAGGAATGCAGTGGAGAAGGTGAACTCCAAGTCGCATCCAGAGGCATGGGGAGCCCTCTACCGATATGTTGCTGGGAAGTCCAGCAAAAACAAGGATCCGGCAGTGCGAGCAGAGATCTTGCAGAAGTGGCAGACAGGTGCTTGGCAATGCAGTTGGGATTTGTATGTTGTGTTTGTGTGCCTCGAAACCCTGTAACATGCATCAGCGCCTGTATATATATATATATATATGTATTTACAAGTTTGACTTGTGTGTATATATATATATCTCTCTATATATATGCATATCTATATTCATGGTTTTATTTGGTCATATAGATAGTATATGTATATATAGCTATATATACTATAAAAAAATATGCAGTCAGAAAATACCGAGGGAATGAGAGAGTGTGTGTGTTGGCTGCTTGACTTGTCTCCATGCATGGAATGCATGGTTTAGATGTTGCTTTAGCATGAACCTTGGGTGCAGCAGTTATGCATGCACTGTGTAGTCTGGGTGTATGTTGGCTAAATATCTTGATATCCGTACATATTGAGTATCTGGATATATTTACATATAATAACAAATTTTGAACACATATATATATATATATATATATATACACCGGAACCACTCTATGTCTGAGAATCTCTCTCTTCTTCTCTTTCTCTCTGACTCACTGTATATATATATATATATATATATATATATATATTTCTTATAACCTATATGCCTAGTCATAGTTTTATTTCATTATCTCTCTGTCCACTTTGCTCATTATCTATCTGTCCACTTTGCTTTGATGTTTGAGTCCTTATCTCCTTCTGTTGATCTATACGTATATATGTATCTATATATATATATATATACATGTAGAGAATATGCCTGTGTGGGCCAGTGAAATGTTGCCTGGATATGTTCAATCGGTGTGCAGCAGTCCATACATGTCTGACTCGAATAGCACTGGCACCTATTCCATCATGTGTTGCAGGAGGGCTCGTGAGGCAGAAGCTCCTCAAGGAGTTTATCGAGAAGTGCTTCCAACCCATGAATCCTCATGGGAATAATGTTTTTCCGCTGCAGATATTGCAAGTGATTTGTTGTGTCTAGTTCAACCCTGCAGTAATGAGTTTGTTCAGTGGTGCTGCAGGCTCGCCTGGAAGCTGTGTTCAAGCTCCGCCAGATGAGCCGTGACTGGCGCAAGACCCTCCAGGGATTTGAGTGGTTGACAGCAGATGACATGAAGCAGTTGGGCTGGTCGGAGTGTCTTGGCCGAGCATAATTTTTCAGAGAATGTAAATAATAGTGCTCATTGAGGTCAGACCATGAACCCAAGGTGGATTCATGTGTACTATTACTGATCTGTATATATACAGGCTATTCTGAAGGTCTTGGCAAGAGAGGCAGATACAGGCTGCATTTTGCAAATGAGAAAATGTCTCTATGCTAGATAGTTTAGAATGCATGTATAACATGTCCAAGAGTTTTTCAAGGCTTAGCTTCAAATTGATGCATCTCAGAGTGGTGCCTATTGAAGATGATGGCTGTGGTGCTGTAAATGACCTCTTGACCCGTTCATGATGGAGCATGAACACCCATACCCAGACCATAAGATATAAACAAACTTTGAAACATACATTATAATACATACATACAGGGAAGATGTGTATACATATATATATATATACAAAAATCATGGATGCATGTCTATATATATATATATACATCTTTAAACATATGTATATATATATATATATATGTATGTGTATATATATATATAACTATATGGTACCGGTGCTTCCTAGATGCAATGTGCAGGTATGTCCATGTGAGCAAAAAATTTCTATCTTGCTGCAGCCTGCCTGTCTAAGGAAAAAAATCCTCGGGGCCATAGCCCACTGTGAAAAGAAAAAGCTCTACAAGAAGTGCCCGTACGAGAATATTCGCAAATTCTTAGTCCTCACATCTGACAAGGTGGAGTATCTGAGCTGCATCTGGGATCCACGTCTCAGCTTCATGCATTGATGGCTGTGCCAGAACCTACCTGAGCATGTGTGCATGTGTGCTTGCTATCGCAGTGGGTTGGGGCAGTGTTTCCTGTTCAGTTGAGATCCTGACAAGGCAAGGTGCAGAAAGGATGCAAGAACTGGAGGCCATATTGGAAGACTGTGGTGACTTGTTCGCATTATGCTGCGGATTCGGGAGTGATGTTCTATATAAGATTTGTGCATAGGCACTTTCAACGAGAACTTCGACATGACCCTTGGGATTGGCGACCTCATGCTCGAGGAAGAGGATGATCGTCAGGAGGGTAAGCCGAAGCCGAAGTTGGTGGGCGCTCTGCCGGAGGTCGAAGGTGAAGAGTCGGTCACAGACTACTTGTCTAAGTTCAAGCGGGCATGCCTTGGCAAGAAGCAGCAGCACCGAGACATCCTGGAGAGATTGAAGGATGACAAGGTCACGGGCCACGAGCTGCTAACCTGCACTCTTATCATACCTATATGCTGCATGTACTGCACTCCCTATATATATATATGTATGAGGATTACAGTGATATCTATATATGTCTATATATATATATAGACATACATATATAGAGAGAGTAATGTATATGTGTATGAATGTATATATATATATATATATATATGTAAAATAATTTGGGCATGCATGTTTCTTCATACAACTATATCAAAATACCTACCTCTGTCCAAAAATATACATATGCATACATATACTATATTACATATGTATATATATATATATATATATATATATATATTAATAGTTGTTGTGTGCCAGCTGATGCTGACTCTCTCTCTCTCTCTCCCTGTCCGTTTCTGTGATTGATGATTATGGCATGTTGTATGTTGAATGAGTACAATGATCAAGGCAGGATTCGCAACGGCTTGACAATGAAATGGGCTGCTTGGTCTGCCTTAAACCAGCCTTGATTTGTTCATATATCCTCACTCCAAGTCATGTGAGACTTCAAATACCAAGGCAACCTGAACACCCTCTACCAGAAACTCTGTGATGAGGAGCTGACCCGCAAGAATGCGCCAATTGGCAATAAATAGCTGGTGTATGTCCTGCCTGAACCTGAATATATGATTGGTGTGTTTGCACATGTTGCCTAAGGTCCAAGGCGGATTTCGTTGACATCACGGACAAGATCAAGGAAGCGTTGCTTCGTTTCACGAACAGTTTGAACGCCTGCAAGCCTGAAGCTTAGAATTCTCAGATTCTACTTGTGTATTGGTACTTGTGTCAGGCTTGTTGCCTGTTGCCAATGCTGTCTCATATATGTGCATCGTTAAGTGTTCATGTGCTGCTTCTGTCTGTGCGCCCACAACAGAAAGTATTACAATACATATATATATATATATGTGTGTGTGGTGTGAGCATGTCTATATATATATATATACAGAATCTGTTGTAATTTGTGTGTTGATGTGTGGAGATGATTGATCGCATGAGGGCATGGGTTACAGAAGCATCAATGCTGAGGACATGTGTGCATGATGTCCCGCCAGCTATATCATATTCATCTGGTTATGAACAGCTATCATTTGCTTGGCAGGCTTCTTGTGTCGAGTATTCTTGCCTATGCAGTAAATGCCACTGTGCTTCTTGTCCTGGCTGTATACCATGAGTATGTTCCTCGCACCCCGCATCCAATCCACAGGGCCCCAATGTCTATATGCCAATCTGCATAAACATGCAATGAATGTGAGTGAGCGGCAACCTTTTGGGATGCAAATAACAATGCAGCTGACATCCATTCAATGTTTGTTGAGGTCTTACTTGCGCAAGGTGTCGCAGCCGAAGCAAAAGGCCAAGGGAAAAGCAAAGGCAAAGGCCAAAGACGAGGATGATGATCAGGACGGCCAGCCGATGTGACTGGATGACTGTTTGGGCTCCAGCTTTTGAAGTGCTCTGTGCATGAAGTTGCCATGAGCCGGCTTTCGAATTGTGCAGGTCCCACGTTTGTTTGAGCATTGTGCTTGCTAGAGACATCTAAATGCTCGGGTGGTTGCAATATGCAGCATACATGGTGTTGCATTCGTGGGCATGTGCTTCTCCAGAGTATCTGATCCCGTCAGCAGTGTTGCACGTCGCCGCGGCTGAAAGATGCAAAAAGAACTCTGCCACAGCTGATGATTTTACAGGTAGATAGTTAGACCTTGAAAGGAAACAGCACTCTATATGTGTATATATATATATATATATATATAGGGATTGAACACGGATACCAAAATCACCTGTGTATTCTAAATATTTCTATAACATATACATATACATATATATATATATATATATACACATACATGCTTGTTTGCCAGACTCATGCATGTGAGTACATGCATGTATCATTGTGCATGTGCTTGTGTCTATGTCCATGACCATGTCTGTTTATGTGCATGTGCATACATAAATATGTATGTGTGAGCCCTTCTATGTATACACATATAGATATATTATATGTTTTGTCTGTTTCTGCAACTGCATGACAAGTCTGTTCATGCATCTGTATGTATGCATACAACATATATATATATATATATTAATATACAGATGTCTGCATATGTACATGCCTGCTTGCATGCATGTAAACATGTCTGTATGTAGATATCGGTAGAAGTATGCTGCTTTATCTTTTTATGCCTGCAACAAGACATCATACTCCGAACTCGAATGTACAGGAACAACTTGCATGCAGGAATGTATGCATATAGACAGTTCCCTCGCGCAGGTGCCCGGGTCGTTCAGAATGTCCTCAAGACCTACATTGCTCCTCGGCATTACATGCTGAAGCAAGCTGCTTCTGTGAGTGTGTGTGTGTGTGTTGCAAATAAATATATAAGGACCATAATGCTGCTGAAGCCTCCCGAGTTGCATACGACAATGGACAGACAGCAGCAGATGGGGATGCGTGGAAGAACACATACATCCAGCTGGGATTGGCACACAACTCCACGAGTGACAAGGAGACAGTGTTTCTGGGAAACGTGCAGGCTCTGGGCTTCACGCTAGAGACACAAGTGCAAATGAAGACTGTGGAATTTCCGGGTGGCCCGAGGGCTCACCCTGTTCTGCCGATGAAGCAGCTGGCGACAGAGATTCTCCGAGATTATCCGAAATTGCTATTGTTTGGGCATGAGTATACGGATTTGGTGAGAGTGGAGACGGAATTGGCACAATTCTGGGCCCGGTTCCGCAGCACCTGGCCTGACCATGATGTTTTTATTACTCACGGAGACCATTTGCAAAGATGCATACCAATCAGAACACATGCTGATGAAGGCACCAGTTTCCGGCGAGCTGGAATCTATCAACAAAGCTGGGGCCCTATTATGAAAGCAGGGCTGAGGAGTTCACTGCATTGCTTCTTTTACGCGGCAATGCTGGCTGATGACTACAAGGATGCAACCAGGGTCAGTTGACAGGTCCATGTTGGCATCAGAAGTTATCTGTCAAAAAGTCATGGTGCTGTATGTGTAGACAAGTATAGTTAATTCTATATCTATATATATATATATGTATACATGTTCATTATATATATATGTATACGTTGCCTAAACATTTATTCTATATGTTTGTTTAAAGCATGATATAGCTTTTCATTTATGTGTATTTCTTCCCCCCATTTCATCAGGATGACCACGCTGGCTTTGGGCAAGGCAACAAAACCCTGGATGGCCTTCTGAGGCACTTCGTGCAGGATGCAAGAGACTGCTACTACAATGGCGTTTGTTCGAGAAATGGGAAATTCTACCTTGTGCTGCTCCGTCTTGAAGGAGATTTGCCAGCCCAGGCAAAGCTGGCACATTCAGGCCGCAGCTTTACGAATGACCCGAACCCGATGTGCCCGTGGTGCTTAGCGGATGGAAGGGAAATGCCATTCGGGGACTTCCGCCGGAATGCCAAGTGGCGCTCGACGATTGCAACCTCACCTCCTTGGAAGACATCGAGTCCTTTGCATGATCTGCCGGGAGGTGAAGATGACAGATTCCTGGCCAAGGATTTGTTCCACATAACCCACTTGGGTATAGCGAGGACCTGTGTTGCATCTGTGATATGCTTTTTGATTGCGATTGGTGGGCACTTCCACCCCAGTGAGGGTGGTACGTCGGTGCCGGCATGCTTGAAAGAGGCCTACAAAACCTTCGCTTTCTTTTGCAAGAGCATCCTACACGAGACACCGGATGTCAAGACCTTCTCACGAGACAACCTGGGCTGGCAGTCTCTAGCGAAGATGCCGGAAGCTTCGTGGATTCTTGGAAGTGATAAAGCACTGTTTTCATGAAGTATGGTGTTCTGCATGAAGTGATAAGCTTCCTGTCTTGAAGTGGGTCCTATGTGAAGTCGTTTTCTTTTATGCAACATGGTAACCTGTATATCAAGCATTGGCAACCATGTGCAAAGATCGATTCCTGGTAAACCGGTAGACCTTGAATAGTTAAACAAACAAATATAATAGAGTTTATAAATATATAAATAAATATATATATATATATATATATATATATTAATCACACACACACACACCCTATATAACCTCATGTTTTGTGCAGCCTGGGCTGCAAAGTGAGCATGAGTGTCGAGACTTTTTTTCTATTCAGGAAGGGCTCTGATATCCGCTTGCTCACGAAATGGCTGGTGGACTATCTGTCGAGGCCCTGGCTATTCGATGAGGTCACTGTGCATGTGTACGATTTTCTTACAGCGCTCGACGACTTTCATCACCTGTGTTATGTGGATTCGAATCGGGTGTGGATGGACAATGCACAGATGCGGACTGGACGATCGCTCCTCGGCCGTTTTTTTGCAAGCTATGCGAAGGCTGCTCAGATGTGCCATGCTCGAAGGTGGTTGTTCTTTAACATCACCCCGAAATATCACTATCTGCTGCACATCGAGCATGATCTCGCACTGTCGAAGTGCCACACCTGGGGCTTCAATCCTGCGTGTTTCGCAACGCAAATGGATGAAGACTATATGGGGGTCTCTTCTCGAATGAGTCGTTGTGCTCACCCTCTGGGAGCTGCAAAGCGCACGGCTCAGAGATGGCTCATATATTCTTGGCTCCAGTGGAAGCCTTGGAGATTTCATCTCTGATCAGCTGCTCGAGCGCTCACAGAGAAAACATAAGGGGGCCGAGTGCTTGCAGTCTTCTGCAGTCTCTGTCTGCACAGTGTCAGTCTTTGTAGGTTGGGTCTGTGCAGTGTCCGTCTTTGAAGCCATTCTCTTTCTATGGTGTGCAGGCCCCAACCCCAAGGGTTTCCCTACCCAATGGCAGCAGTGCTGAGCTATCTGTATATCTATATATAAGATATAGGCATATATATATATATATAATTATATATATACATATATATATATATATAGATATGCCTTCATATACATACACATATAAATATATATGTGTACATGCATGCACTGATGGTGCTGTTTCGATATGGCAGGACCACTTCAACAGTGTTGTTGATTGCACACATGCTCATTACCGATACAAAACACCATGTAAGCTGTGTTTTCTGCTAATGTGCATGATATAAAGCTCGATTCCTGCAATTTCTCAGTTTTGAACCAAAGAGGCCACAAAATGAAAAAACCAAAAAAACTAAGAAACCAAAACATTCTGGTTTCTAGATATAAACCAAAATAAACCCATACAAACCAATGTCTAGGTACTGTTAATCTGTTAATTAATTAATTATTCGTGCGAAGAGGAGCCTAGGGAACCTCTTTCAGATCTCCTTGATATTCTTCCTGGTGAGACATTTTGTGTTCCTCGGCTCGTGCCTAGCAGATAAGTGTTTCTGTGTTTTACGTCCTTTAGCTAAGGATATGCTGATGCGGGTGGCAGCCGCCGAGCGCCAGAAAGAACGGATGCCTCGGCACTTTGGGCAGTATCCGAACCCGGAGTGGCTGCCTCCCCATCTTGAGGCATGCCACAGACCCAGGGGTATGTTCGTAGCACGGCTTCGACCTGGAAAAGCAGGGTGTGGTGCTGACATCGCGACGGACGGAGCCTTCGCAATGCACTCCCAGCACCCGCTGCTTCAGACACTTGGGTTTGCCCAGAATACAACGCAGCACTTGGTGTACTGGGCTGAACGAAAGATAGTCTTTTGGGGAGCGAGTGCAGCAGAAGCTTGGAGCATCTGCCGCGACACCATGTTCTTTTCCAGGCCAGGGTACGCAAGTGTGTGATTTTTGTGCTTGTGTCCCGCCATGTGAAGTGTGAACCATCACGCAGGAATGGCATGCTCCCGGCTTCCCGCCATGGCCCCGGACCAAACAGATGGAACAGGCGGGCGTGGCCAAGCTATGCACAGCATCGCAAGTTAAAGTTGAAGGGGCTGTGCGCGGGCAAAGTCTCCTTTGCCATCATGCTGTGGCAGGCGAGGTGAGGTTGTCCCCTCCGCAAGCGGACCGTGGAAACGCAGGCCCCCGCAATTCTGACAGTTTTTTGGGGCTCATAAGTCGCGTGTCAGAGACTGTACTTCCGGCTGTGAGTATTATTTCTTCTGTCTGTGAGGTACAAGCAGGGCAGCCACGTGCCCGCAGCTCCAGATTCCAAGGATCATGATTATGTGGGAGGTTCAGCTCCCAGTGACTCACTTGCCCAGTGCATCAGCCACCGCATTGTGGTTGGGAGGATTCAAGATGTTCAGAGGGTCGTCAGAGCAAACATCCGGGAGTTCGTTACAAGCCCAGCTCTGTGGCTCCGCGTGCCAAACCCTTTCGACGTCGGCATTGATGCTCGTACTTGGAAGCACTACATGGATTGCGTGGAATTTGAGTCCGGTAAGATCACCCCCGATGATGACATCGACGCACAAAGACATCGAGACCTAAAGCGGCCAGATCAGCATTCTCTTTCCGATCTGGAGCGGGCCATAAAGCGTTTGGACGCTTGGACGAGGGTTATGCTTCGCCTGATTGAGCACGGGGAGACGGTGGACATAACTCTTATCCTGTCACCAGTTGACCCTCTCATCTCCAAGAGGGCTTGGGAGAGGCACTTGTGGAGCGTGCGCTGCAGGTTGGCAGTTCTGAGCGGGCCTGTTGTTCCAACACCGCAGCAAGAGCCTCCTCCTCATGATTATTCGGGTGGGAAGACAGTGGATGCGGCTGCTGCAGATCTTACCAGCTTCGTGAGGGATCTTCACTTCGATGACGCAACGCATGATACAGCTTTCATGTTCGATGTGGAGCTTGATGACGATGCTTTCCTGCATCAGCCCCTTCCTTTGCGCCCCCTTCCACCAGATCCAGACAGCCAGGATGGCTTCATCAGGCGGCCAAGGGCAATCTTGGAGGAGCCCGAACAGGTTCAGCAAGTAACTCTCGCCGGAGATGATTCTGATAGTGAAGAAGGCGTCTGGTATCCATCTTTCGATTTGTCGGATGGTGGTTACAACGATGTTGTATTGAATGCAGTGCAGCCTCAGGACGGACAGAAGCCCAGCACCGACTACGAAGGAGGAGGCTTGCTGGATGAACTGCTGGTTGATCTGCCAGGTTTTTACTTCTCCTTCGACTACCTCAGAAAGTTAGCATGCACCTGTACGAAGATGTTGCGTGCCGTTCAAGATCGTCGGCACTGGCGGGGCAGAAGAGTTTCAGTGAACACGGAGGAGTTTCAAGATCCGACCAAGTTGCGCTGGATGATGGAGTCATACTTGTGCGCGCACTTGGTCACGGTGAACATTCGCCAGCTTGCCATGTTCCATGTCTTTCCTCGCAATGTCATGCTGGAGTGGACTGCGACAGGCGTACTGCAGGCTCGACAATGTCTTTCTGGATAACGCCATGGCTTCCTTTGGACTAGCTGACCTTCCGCCGCAGCCGCATGTCAGCCGCAGACCTGTTCGCTTGCAACCCAACCGTGTTCACCGCTTCAGTGTCCGCTGGCACGCGAGGCTTTTCGAGATCATGTTGGACGGCGTTCACATTGCAACCGCCAGGGCTCGGGAAGGGGCGCCGCCTGCTCCACGGGCTTTATCCAGGCTGTTTGTCTGGGCTTTTGCTCGTCCCACTCCGGACCTCGTCAGCATGGTTCAATTTCGCCCAATACGTTCACCAGTGGAAATGACAGCTACAATCACATGTGTCATCTGCAACAGAGACTTCGGGCTGGGCATGCCTCGCTGGTGCGTGTGTCCGCGTTGCGACACATGGGTTTGTGCGGCTCACGCTGGACAGCAGCCTGAGCGCTTATGTTCTCGGTGTCCGAACCTTTTGCTCGACTATGTCGGCGGAAGTTGCAGAGATGAGAAGCCGTATCCCAACGCAGGAGGATCGACAACATCCACTGCGATGACACCAGAACAGTGGTTGCGCCTCACTTTGCACCGACAGGAGGCTCTTCGCCGACGTCGAGGCAGCAGCAAGGGATATGTCCAGCTTGAGTCTGAGTTCAACCGAATTTGGCAGGCGTCCATGAGTCCCTTGTGCTGTCCCACGTACGGGCGCGGAACCTCGCAAATTCGACTTCCCCTACCGGCGAGAACCCCGTTGACGCTGCCTGTTTTAGAAGACTGCCCGACGAACTTTCTGGAATTTACCATTCCTTCTGTGGATTGTGATCTTCTGCGTCTGGCACATAAACACCCAAGAGACGACTCAATACGTTTCGTGGAGGAGACGCACACGTATTATTTGCGAGAGTGCAGGATTCCATTGTCTGTGACGGGCCTAGTGCATAATTTCGCGGCAGAGTTTGATGCTGACAAGGCGATTCAGTGCATGATGCAGAGCAGACGGTGGCCTCGACCAGAATATTCTGTCGAGCATGGCGGCCTCCTGATTCCAATGAGCCCGCCCCAAATAAAGGACCTTTGGAAAGCAAATGCAACTGAGGCTGCTGCCAGGGGCACATGGTTGCATCTTCAGTTGGAGGTTTTTCTCAATGGAGGCAAAGTCCATGAGAACAAGGTGGAGCTGCAACTCTTTTCAACGTTTCTTCAGCAGATGCCAAAGCTAATTGCTTTCCGCTCTGAATGGTGTGTCTACGGCGAGGAAGAAAAGCTGGCTGGGTGCATAGACTTCGTGGCACAAACACCTTCGTCGGATGTTATCCTTTTCGACTGGAAGCGCACAAAGCAGCTACGCAGGAAGTATGTGTCTCTGTGGTCCACCATGAAACAACCTCTTTCTCATCTGGACGACTGTGCCGGCATACATTATCGCTTGCAATTGAACTTGTACAAGTACCTAATCGAGAAGTACTATGGCTTGCGTGTTGCTGCTATGTACGTTGTTTGCCTTCATCCCGACAACCAGGAAGAGGGTCCTTTCATTGATTGCGTGCCAGACATGCCGTCAGAGGTAGACGCGATTCTGGAGGTTCACCGGCTGAAGCTTGCAGGCCAGAGCTGCGATTACATCGGTGGATCCTCAGGTTCAGGTCAGCTACCTCAGGCAGACGCAGCAGACGGAGATTCTTCCCAGCTTGATTCGGCGATGCCAAACATCGGTGAAGATCCTGAAAATGACCACCGGCCATCTGAAGAAATGGACGAGCAGTTGGACAGGGCCTCTCTTTCTGCCCTTACGCAAGATTTGCAGGCTGCCATAGATGCGGTCGAGTGGGACGAAAGTAGCCGCGCGGTGTTGTCCAAGGCCAGAAAGAGGAGTGCATTGCCTGGCGCCGCCAGTACAATGTCCAGATTTGAAAGTACTTTCAACTCTCAGCTGCAACGTGCGAGGGAGTCTCTGGAGACGGCCATTCCATCCAACCGCAACGAAGAGAACAACATTCTTCAGCAGACTGCTACCATCCGGCGCAACGTGATTGCGCAGGCCGGAGAGGTCCCAGAGGACCTACTGAGAGTAATTGTCGCAGCGACAGTGGTCTATCGGATGCGGCTGAGTGATATGCATGTCCGAGAGCAAGTCTTGCTGCTCTGGGTCATAGAAGGTGAGGTTCATATGAGATGTCACGGAGGCGACCTTTACTTTTACCGCGGTGGTGCCTTCACTTTGCACCGTGGCATTCCACCGCAGGAGACCTTGGCAAGGTGCAAGCGTTACATGTTGTATCTTGAATCTTGAAGGCTTGTTTCGTCTGCTACCAGGCCCGAGCCCGAAGACAGATGCTGAGGTCCTAAGTGCCGTGATGAATCTGTACGTGGAGCACAATCGAAACTCTCGAGAGTTCTTGAGTGCATGCGAGGATGCTGCTCGCGTTGCCGTCGTTAGTCGTTCTCGCTCTAGCCGCCGTCTTGGGGAGGAGGATGCAGCCCCGGAGGTGCATGACTGTTCGCTGGCAGATGCTATTTCCAAGGTCGGCTTAACCATGCAGCGGCATCTACTTGATGACAAGATTTTCAGTCTAGTGGTGGAGTGGTGCGACACACCGCTAACCCGTGCGTCAGGATGCTCGTACCAGGACTGCACAGTGCTCTACGATTGCAGTCAGGACAGTTATGTCAACTTTGTCAGCGACAGCCCGAAGAATAATATCTACACGCACATCCCACACCCACTACGCGATCCAGTGCTGGAAGAAGCTTTGCAACGAACGCTTGCGTTCTACTCCGAAACCTTCTGGCTGAACAATGATGCAGCTTGGTCTTATGGTGCTGAGTCCATGGGTCTGTTCAGTTTTCTCCGAGTCACACGTCCTCCAGCAATACGACATCCCAGGTCTTTCGCTGCAACCAGGCGGCCATTGCGCTCGCCAAACGAGGCGAGAACGTAGTGCGATGTTTCATTGGCATCAGTCCAGGAGGCCAGACATGCTCTCTTGGAGTAGCATGTTCTCGTCAAACATGTAAGCGCCATCATTGTTGATTCGTCGAGTGCGAGTGACAAAGAAGCACCATCAGTGTTGCACAGGTGTGGGGCAAAGCCTGTACTCCAGCCATCTCGATGCGGTTTACGCTTCCAACCACAAATTCATCGACCCAAACATATGGTTTGATGAGACCGAGATGAGGAAACAGGTCGAACAAGCTGCCGGGTGTTTTATTCTCACGGCGCAAGAAGCGCCCGAAACGAACAGGCGCATGAGAGAAGATCTCTACAAGAAGACTATGTCGGCTGACGGCATTGCAGGCAGACGACCTTATGGAATTATCACCCGCATGATAGAGCTTGTTGCATGGAAGAGGTATGAGCTGAACCGACTCATGAGATTTGTGGGGGTAACAGAAAAGAATTTCGATTCCATCTTCAGACGATCCTGTGTCTGGTTGCCGCAAGCTCGTTTCATTGAGGAGACCATCATCAAGAACAAGTTCACCGATGCCAATACGGCCGGCTACTTTCGCAAAGACGATTCCCTGAAGAAATTCCTTTCTAGCGGACCCTGTATTGCAGCAGCATTGCGGTTACAGCATGGCTTCGAAGTGCAGCACTCTCGTGAGATGTGCAAGGATCTGATCGAAGCATATGCCAATCAGCCGCTAACCGAGGACGCAATGAGGGAAGCGTGCGGTCTGCCTCGCAAACATCGGTCGGGGCCGGACGGTGAACTCACCATTCCTGTGGATTCTTCTAGCCAGGAGAGTAAGAAAGATACCGACCAGCAGTTTGTCAATGTGGCTGAAGCCATCCGGGAGGAATGTCTGCAAAAGAGCAAGACAATATTCACGAAGGGTATGTTCAAGTACCTGAAGCTGCCGACCGAGCACCCAACTGACATGACAAGGGATGCTATATGGGAAGTCCTACTTTCGCGCAAGTTGGTAATGGCCGCCAACCTGGACAACTCCAAGTACAAGGATGGCGTGATGCCTTTCATTCAGGTTCCGGTCAAGCTGGCCACTTTCGTGAACACAAGCCCTGGGTCGGATGTGACACATCGGAAGTGCATGATGTGGCATCTCTATTGAAGTATGCCAATGGTTGTCCTGACAGAGAAGCCAACGTTTTTCAAGTTCTTGAGTATCTGGACAAGTCAATAGCCAGGCTTAAGAAGCGAGGCAAGCAGTCCGCCACTGCCATTGAGAAGATGGCCAACCTGGAGAAGATGAGAAAGAAGTTGGTCGCGTCCGAAAGGATGCTAGAAAGTCTTTTGCGTGACCAGCGTGCTCAGTCACATGAAGCTCCGGAAGGTAAAAGGAGAAGGATAGCCTGCAAGACATCTGCCTGTGTTGTTAATGCAGCAAGGGTGGAGCAGACGTTTCGGTATCGACGCAACTTCCAGGACCTCATTCGCACCAGAGCATATGTGGAAGGCGATGGTGCTCAGAAGTGCTCTCGAAGGATTCTGCAGATACTTTGTGCTGATACGCATGATCTCGACATCTCCAATTCCGTCTTCGTCATTATGCATCAGTTGTTCGAACGGCTGGACATGAAGAAGGTAATGCCAGCACATCTTTGGGAAGTTCTGAGAAAGGTAGCTACAAATCGAAGCGGTGTCTGCAACGAATTGGGGCTGACTGTCAAAGAAGGCAAGGAGGTGCTTCACTCGTGCCTTTTCGGTGCCAATACTCCTGTAAGCCTTGGCACCAACGAGTTTATGCAATCATTCCAGCGGATGGCGCTCTTCATGCGCTGGACGGCGTGCTCGCTGCTTCCCGATGTGTATGAACTTGTGAGGACTATGAAAGAAAAGCGAAATCCTGATGCATCGGTGTTATTCTATTTGTATGTGCTGGTGGAAGACACTGTTCTACAGGCATGGGAAGACCATCTGGTGCGCCAATTTAGCCCGAAACATATCTCCCTGCACTTCGACGGGCTACGGATCGACGCGTCGTGCTTATCTGGAACACCGTTGGGAGTCCATTGTGCAGAAACGGAAAAGGAGATCTTGAAAAGAACAGGGTTCAAGGTGACTGTTGTCGAGAAGCAGCACAAATACTTCATGGAGTTATGCAGGCAATATGGAGCCGCAAGGGACGATGAGGCTTTGCACGATGCTAAGTATGCGTGTCTGCGAAAAGATGGCAACTGTATTCTTCGGGCAGTGGCCCAGCTGTTTCCAGGGAAGGCGGCGCAAGTTCTGGAATACGTACAGGAGTCCAGTGCTGCCAACAGCCAAGCTGCATCGCATGGATCGAGATGCTACAACGATGTGCTGACAGCACTGGGCATACACGCGGTGCCTCACCTGGGCTTCTCCATTACGGAGCAGGGTAAATACCTCGTGCACACAGAACATACAGGGCGACCTCATTGCGTGTCCGTTGACGTGGCGTTGACAGACGGTGATGTCCTGTCTGCCGAAGTGGGTGGTTGTACTGAGACGCTGGACATGCCGCTGACCAAGCTACAGGATGCATCTCAAAATGCGATGGACTCTAGTTCCATTGTGACTTTCCGGCTGTTTGACCAACGTGGAGACGTGAACTGGCCAGCTGACGATTTACAGGCGAACTTGGAATTGCTGCTTCTGCTGCATGCAGGGGCAGGCGCGGAGAGCTCTGATGATATTTGGGTTCAGGATGCAGCGGCTGTTTTGCAATGCAGCAACAACGAATCAGACGATGAATGCCCTGGTTCTTTGCCGACGGCAGATGACGAAGACATCGTTTCTGTCTCGAGTAGGTTGTACAAACTACTGCAAGAAGAAGTGCATCAAGCGAAACAAAGCCATTCTGCAGACAAGCGTTGCCCGCTGTGTCCATTCCGAAAATTTTCCAGACGGGACAGGCTGCTGGCTCATATCAAGACATATCACGTGCCAGAGAGACACTTTGTGTGTTCCGGGACCAAACAACTCAAGGTCGTTTGTGCTCTCTTCGACCAGGATCAGCTCAACAGAAATTCCGGTTCGGATTACTTGAAGAGAAGTGCTGAGATTATGTTCCACAGTATTGTCCCCAAGCTCAACTGCTGCGTGAACGACACTTGTCTCTCAGTTTATTGCTTTAGTTTTCCATGCGCTTCTCGATTGCTTCTGGAGCATTATAGAATCATTAGAGATAGCATATGACTTTTTTCTTTGCGAGTTGGAGAAATCAGGAAGTGGATCGCTATATCCGTCTCGTCCTTACAGAAACAGGGCCAATGTTTCAGAACATTGATGGGCTGGGAGACAGGCGCCTAAGGAGAGTCAGAAACCTTTATATGACTCGTGGATTTGCTGATTTGGTGTATCAGGAGGCACTGCTATGCAACGGAAAGTGCAAATCATTGCGTTCTCGAGTATCTTACATTCTTTCCCAGCGCGGTTGCACTCTTACGTCGCTCTTGCCGACAGACGTAAGACACTGGTGGCCACTCATCGAGGACGTGTTCAACTCCCCGCAAGTCAAGCAGTTGCATGATGGTATAACCCATTTCCTCTGCTCTCGCGACGAGTACAAGTACATATCCATTGATGCAACGATAAAATGTTGTGTCTCCATACTGGGACAGGCGTCATGGCGCAGCAACGTTGTAACAAGAAATGAGGCACCGTTTGATGATGTTTCAGCTGTCCGCCGAGTTCTTACCGTGCGAGGCCGTACCGGTGCCGTGCTGGGCATGTTTGCAATAGCGTCGGAGAAAGCAGAGGAAGTGGCAATGGCACTTGGAGCCAATCTTCCCTCGGAAGGCCTCCGGCAGGTCAGGATGGTTGCAGCGGACAATGCATCGAGAAAACTATATCTACATCTTCGGCGAATAATGCCTGGTCTGGAAAGTCTTTGCCTGGATCCTATTCACTTGGCAATCACCTATGAGTGTCCTGCCGTTAGTGTTTGGTTGCCTTTCTCGACAACTAGTTCCTAAAGTCACACACCGCAACTTCTCGGCTAAGGTATGCGACATGGCGAAAGAAGACAGCAGGCGCAGTCTTCCTCAGGAAAGTCCTCAAGAAGCTGATCGTGGTAGACGCAAACAAGTCGGAAGGTTCATGGGGCGTCTACTTTCGTGGGTATGAAGAAAGGCCTTTATCCATGTTGGAATCTCGAAGACGAGATTTAATCACTTCGGGTACAATGCTGGCGCCAAAAGCTAAGAGAATTGTGGACAGTCTCGACAGTGCAGTACCATTTGGCTGCAGACTGGAATTCATCGAAGCGTTGGCTGCACTCGCAGCGGTCTTCCGACTTGATATGGCACGAAAAGTCACCGGTGCCAATATACCACTTCATCAGGTTCTGAAATGTGCTTGTGCGCCTGATCGACTGGAGTGGCTTTTCAACAGCCTCCGATGGCGACATTCGCTGCGTCCTGGACTTACTGCTACTGTCTGTGGCATTGCCATATGCTGGCATTCACTCACTGAACTTAATACCAGTAAGCTGAATGTTTGAGGTCCATCGGAGAGAACGCTTCTCCCGTCTGGCACAAGCTCTAATGAGGCGTTGCACAGTGAGGTGAAGAGTTGGTTCAAGCAGACACAGCAAATGCATCAAAGCACGCTGCAGCTAAAGCTGCGGGTGTTAACCTTAGGCAAAGTTTGCCTCATTATGGTGCTTTGCGATATCCGACTCTCAGTCAGATGAGTAGTGGTCTCGTGCTGGCTCGGATCGTCACTGCATCCGTGTGGACAGATGACACATGGAAGCAGTGGTGTCACAGTACGGAGAAAGCCGACCTTCCACTGCAGCGTGACAGATTGGAAGAGGTCAAAAAGGTCAGCGACTGGGTTTCCAAGAAACCCGCAGGACGCAATGGCCTCAAACGAAAGCGTACAGTTTTCACTATGGAGCGTTCTCATAAAATCAGACGACAGGGCGTGAAGCGATGCGCAATCAGCATGGCCTGAGGCAACCTCAATGCTCGACCACGCGGCATTCGGTGCAAAAGTCGCTCTGCGAAGCTGCTGGAGCATGTTCATTCTCATGTGAAGCTGCTGGAGCACGTTCCTTCTGACGTAGATGGACAGCAACTACTTGTTTGGTGTGCTCGGCAGGGCCTCCACGTCCGCAGTGTCATCGAGATGCGGAAGGTTTGCACGGACCGGTAGGTTAGGGAAGAAGTAGCCGCGGATTTGGCTGTCAGTCTCGGACAGCACTGTGTGAGCGATAACACGGTCAGTATCAGTTCTCCCCATGATTTTGCGTTCTACATCCAGTGACTGAACAACACAGCCGTTGCACATATTCTCGCTTAGTACACTGACTGTGCTGCTGTTATGTCTGCATCATGTGCGAGCACAGCCACCTGAACAAAACGCAAAGTCGAATTGCAAACAATGTGGTCCGTACATTACGTGGACTGAACAGCACAGGTCGTGAATCTCGCAGATAAACCTGGCTTATTCTGGGCGCAGACACGGTGCTGCGCAGCGAGCTAACATAATCAGGGTTGGATTTCTTCCTTTCTGTAGCCCCTGGCTGCACATCATAGGAAGCACATAGTCTCCGCACAGTTCTCGCCCGGTATGCTGTGCGTAACATGGTTCTATGAAGTTCTATGTGTTACATGTTAGGGCGTTCGCAAATGCTGATCCCAAACAATGTGTTCCGAATCAAGCCTGCAAAATGCTGTCGTCCTGATGGAAGGCTTTCCAGCCACTGACTGAGCGCCACAACCAGTACATGTTCTCCTTGAACATGGTATGTGGGCTATCATGCGAGGATATTTGCCAGCGTGTGTGTGTGTGTGTGTGTGGGTGCGTACTGTATGCTCTCACGTAAGACCTTCCTGTAATATAGCACAAGGGACATGTCACATTATACGTAAAGGTTCCTGCCACATATATATATATATATATAGTATGCCTCCCGAGCACCCCCCCTCCCCGGCTTCGCCTGCAGCTCCGGCGCCGCCGCCGCGTCCGGAGCGTCGGCTTCCGGAAGCAACCGGCGCAAAGGCCTGTATTGGGCATTAAAAGTTGTATGTTATTGTGGTGTTTAGGGCTTGTAGCAAATAAATGTCATCATACGCCTTCTGGGAGGCTTAACACTTTCAGGTTTTCGATATTTCTAATGTAGCGTTCGGGTTGATGGGTCACGAAGGGAATCAAGACACTCTAAAGCCCTCAGGGTTCATGTGCCCAAATAGCATATACTTTGGCCCCAAAGTACCTAAAGAGTGGCTACTTAAAAGCCAATGATCGGTGTATAAGGCTTTCAGGTTTTGGCAGCCCCCTGTCTCCTCCATGGGGGTTTAGGGTTCCAAGACTTGGGGTTTCGGTTTAACTAAAGGCCTGCAGCGGTATAAGATTTGCATTCGGTATACACTATCTTACCCATTCAGATGCTTGGGCTTCGTGTTGGTATGGTTCATACCCGCAACCCTAAACCCTAAATACCTTAAAAACCCTCAACCCTAAACCGGGTGCAAAGTTTCAGTACACGTTTAAGACCTCAGGCTGCAGGACTTTCGATGTTCTGTAGTACGTGTGGCCTCCCGGGAGGCCATGCTTTGATGAAATTAGTCTGTTCCTTAGGGTCTAAAAGGTTTAGGGCTTAGGGGGTTTAGGGTTTAGGGGGTCTTCTTACAGACATTAGTTACAAGAATCTTCGGCTCCGCTCGTGCATGGCAACATGTCCGCATGCCAGTACGGGACATATAGGGTTATGGCTGCGACAGTCATTCAAGCGAACACACTCAGAGGTCTGAATCTTCGTATCCTTAGAATCCCTACATGGGCTCCACTGTTAAACCCCAGACCCCTAAACCCTAAACATAGCTACCTGTGGATTGCAGATGGAAACAGGAGCCCCCCCGCCCAAAAAAAGAAAAGAAAAACACATAAGCCCCGAAACTTATTTCTGATACGTCACGTCCGTCTTAGTGTAGGAGTTCAGATTTACCATTTCGGGGCTCAGCTCAGGCACCCGGTGATGCGAGGCCCCAACGGAGCTCCCAGCAATCTACATTTTCAGAAAAAGAAGATGACGTTTAGAGCTTTGGGGGCTCTGCAACATCCCACGCACTACATCCTTCAAAGTTCGCACGCCCTATAGAAAGGGCTCAATTCTACGGTTTAGGCTTAGGGCTCTGGTTTTCGTGGTCTGGATCAGTGTCTGCAGGCCGCCGAGGTGCGGCGGGATGAGTCCGGCAGCTCGGGCAGCATGGACTCGGCTTGGGATGGCTAGTATGGGGCCTGAACTTCGAACGGGTTCTGCGAGCCTTCATTGTGTAATATCATCGGGATTGCAATGGTGCATTATCCTATCACAAGTACTTCGACTTTTGTTGCTGCTGCTGCTGCTTCAACTTCAACTACTACTGTTACCAGTGCTACTGCCTCTTCTGCCACTCTTACTGCTGGTACTGCTACCAGCGCTATTGCTTTGCTTGCTGCTGCTACTGCTGCTGCTGCCAATCCCGCCGCTCATAATGACAATGCCCTGCAGTTGTACCAGTGCTTCTACATTTCCTGGACGACAACGACTGATAGGACGTGGGCAGGGTATGACAAATATTCAAACCCGGTGCCCTCAGCAACAGCCCGGCCCTCCTATCCTGTCCGATTGGCCAAGCACCTATATGTGATCAAATCTCTGCAAAACTTCACAAAGCCTTGAATGAGAAACAACCCAAAAGCCCCCGAATGAGTTCTATAATCCCTAAGCCCCAAACGCACTACGCCTTAAAAAACAAGGAGTCCGAGCGCCTTTGGCTCGGCCGACATCTGCAGCTGACCACCGCGAGCTTGCGTATCTTGGTGTTTTGTTGAGCCAGTTGAGGGCTTACTCAGGGTTTATAATAGGGCTTATGGGCCAGTTGAGGGCCTTGGGGTTTATACTAGGGCTTATAATAGGGTTTAGGGATGTTTAGGGTTTATAACAGGGTTTAGGTTTTATAACAGGGTTTAGGGTTTATAACAGGGTTTAGGGTTTAGATTACGGTTTGGGTTTTAGATCCGGGCTTACTGTTGCAGCACTTTTCTAGATAGGTTTATGTCGGGGGGGGGGAGCCGACAGGTTCACACAGCTTTTCTCTTGATGTTGATGTGATGCGGCCCAGGCAAGATGGACATCTCTGTAGTCGCCCATTCAAGTGTTTACAGCCTTGTGAGGCTTTCGAAGCAGGGCACGAAGCAGTTTCTTCGTGTGGAGCTTTTTTAAATTTTTCCTCAGAAGGCTGAAGCACGGGTTTTCGTCAAGGATATGTTCTAATTGCCTAAATTAGGCCTCGAACCCGTCGCGAGAACCCCAATCACCTTAAGACCTCAGGTTACTGATGGTTGGGCTCGTTTAAGCCTATACTCACCTTGTGCATTATCCATATAGCCGAATAGCCGGCTGAGAGTTCAATCCAGATACGCATGGTAACCTGCTTCAGGCTTGGACCTTGTGCGTTTGTAATACCCATGAAGGGGTTTCCGAATATAGGGGACCCTAATAAAGTACCCTAGGATCCTTATTATAAGGACCCCTAAGTAAGGTACCCCTATTTTCTGAAACCCCCATGACCCAACAACCTGCTAAAAGGGGTTACGGGACGTTCGGCCTCGAACTGTAACCCCAAAAAGGTCCTAAACTCCTGAGTTTCATGGGTTCAGGGTTTGCGGTTTAAAGGGTTTAGGGTTCAGGGTTTAAGGTTTAGGGTTTAGGGTTCAGGGTTTGCGGTTTATGGTCTCAACAACCCTGAACCCTAAACCCTGAACTTTAAATCGCAAACCCTAAACCCTTAACCCATCTGAACCCAAAACCTTCACAACTGAGGCGTGCGACCCGGAAGGCCATCGAAGATGCCCAGCAGCTCCCCAAGATCTCGGGTGTGTGTGTGTAAGGGTTTCGAAGTTTGGGAGCTAGGGGTTTAGGGTGTAGAGTTTATATAGGGGTGTAGTACGGGTTTAGCGTTTTAGGGTTTAGGCTTTCGGGTTTAGGCTTAAAGGGTTTAGGGGGTTGCTTTGGATGTTAAGTTCCCCCCCAGAAGCCCAATCCAATCCCAGCCCCCTCCCGTCCGTAGTGGTCTACCGTTCCCAAAGTTCCTACAGACCGTGGTAGTTCTCTAAAGTGGGGTCCCTTAGGCCCCGAAACGGTGCGGCACCCTTATCAAAAGGACCCGAAGTGGGACCCTTAGAGAACTACGCATTGGCGAGTACATAAATTGCGTGCTACATCGAATCCATAGACTTCTGAAGCCATAGCTGGGCCTGTAGGTAGAGGACGAGCAACCTTTGGCTATGAAATCACTCACAGCTGCGGGCTCTCCATTGTTCTACTATAGGGTCTTCAAAAGCGAAAGGTGTCGACGATGTAGAAAAGCTTCAGCTTTCAGGGTTCTACTCTTGTAGGGTTTAAGGCTCAGGGTGTAGATGCCAGGTTACCGAGCACTACAGTTTGGGAATCGGGGAGGCAAAGCACGGAATGAGTGGAATCGAGGAAGTGGTGAGGTGAACTGGCTTCAGGGGCTTGACGTCTTCGACAATTACTAGAGTCTCAAGCCTGCGCCCATCATGAGCCCTTCATACTCTGCCCGAAGCTTGTAGATTCCAGGAATGAGTACGACGAAAACCAAGGGTACACCCTGCAACTCGACAGTGGGAAGCCGGTCTAGCCAGCAAGGTTCTGGGACTTGCCCGTGGAAGAAGCTCTTCGCG